CTTTCTTTCTTTCTTTCTTTCTTTCTTTCTTTCTTTCTTTCTTTCTTTTTCTCTCTCTCTCTCTCTTTCTCTCTCTCTCTTTGTCTGTCTGTCTTTCTCTCTGTCTTTCTCTCTTTTCTTTTTCTTGGATTAAGCTGAGAGTGCCTGAGCTGACGATATGAAATGTTTAACTGAAGACAAAAGAAAAAAAACATGGAAAGCATGCAAAGCCGTAAACATGCAGGAGCAAGCAGAGCTGGAGCGAAGAAACTGGATTTCAGTAGCTATTTTTAAGATCCCAACAGAGGAAGGAAATAGCATAAAACATGGAAATAGTGTTACATGAAACATTGACAATCTTAAAAATGGGGCCTGCGCTAGAAAGAGAGAGAGCGTCACTGATTTAAACAGTGAGGCAACAAAGTGTTTAGTCTTCATTAGATAGACTTTATCACCAAAATCGGTGATAAACATCAGTATTGAAATGACATCTACACACACACACACACATACACACACACAAAACCTACAGGGAAAACCTTTCCACGTCTTTGGAGGATGACCTGGATAAATACACAGAGCAGTGCTTCTCAACCTTGGCAACTTTACGCTGTGTGGACTGCAACTCCCAGAATTCCCCAGTCAGCATGCATTATCCATTTAGATTTTCGTTCTGGGCCAAACTTTGGCAGAACCACTGGAATGTATTGGCCATTTGGCCATTTGTTAACGGCATGCAAAATGTTTTGAATTAAAAAAAAAAACCTGCTTTGAGCCCAAAACACTGTTTTAAATTTGAAGCAACTGCTCCTACCTTGGCAGGGGTATCCCAGTGTGGTTCCAACCATTCTAGAAGTGCTTTGAGCTCAAAAATACTTGCAGGATGGTCAGAATGCCCCAATTCAAGCTCAGAAAGCTTTGCACTGGTGAATCCCTAGTGCTTGTGGTGAACTGGTTATCCACCAACCGTCTAGGGGATGGATAGGAAGTTAAGTTTCAGCTTTTAGGATTAGCCTCCTAAAGCCAATTGGTAGGTTACGTTTCCAGGAGGACACACGGACAAAATCATTGCTAACACCGATCTTCCAGATTCCAAGTGTAAAATCAGACCCGAGAAACTCGCAAAAATGTAGCCGTGAAGGTTGGCTGCAGCCAACTCTAAAATAATGATTTACCAGAAAGACGTTATTAGGAAAAATAGGGCAGCCATGTTTTATGCTATTTAAGGTTGCACTGATGAACTGCCTCATCGGAACAAACTCTACAGGGCATGCTCATTCTGATCTAGGACGCTGACATAGAAACAAGCTATTGCGTGCAGGATTCTTACCACCAGCAAGGCACTATCATCAGTGTGGTGAGACCTTCTGGATGGAAAGGGACACTGGGAACGCGGGAGAGATGGCAATGTCAGAAACAGAGAACACCACAACACAATATGCAGACAAACACAGACATCTGGAATTAACAAGGCTTTTTATGCGAAAGGCCACATGTCAGTAATCAGCAAAGTCTAAATGAAACCATGACTGGGGGCGAGGAGGACCCCATTAGCTCCTTAATAAGCCTCAGCATTTAACCCATCTGCAATTGATTCTGGAGCTGTGGTTGCCCCCAAAATATAGCACGATTCAGAATTCCAATCTTTCCAGCAAAGAACAAGGCAGTATTTAGGAAGGAATACAAACACAGAGACACAGTTTGGAAGGAACTGAAGCAACCATGTAAGAAACGATAGGACAACTGAAATCAGGCCAGGGTCATAGGGAGCAGACTACTGGAAACCCTTCCTATATATTTGCGCTGTGTTGGGTTAAGGGTTTGATCTGCCACCCCAGGATGTCAAAACTATTCTCCGTTGGTAAAAATTAAAAAAAAACCAACTATCCAACTGGTGTACAAAAGCTTACTGCAGGGAAAAGGCAAATGTCTTTTGCCTTTTCCCTGCAGGGAGAGATTGGAGCTGAGAATCAACTAATATCAGCCTTGAGTTCTCGCAAGGTTTCAAGCATACTGTGGTGTGCAGAATTCAGAGAATAGCACATGCTTGTGAAGCCACGATGGTGTGTTCTGAAGCGAGTGCGTGTGCAGGGAAGGTGCAACTAGACCAAACAGAGACGGGCTGTTTAATGGTGTCAAGCAGTGTAAATGGAGCAGCCTAATGGTTAGTGGCCAACCGCCCTAGATTTTGGAGCAACCGGGATGTTCATCGGAGAAGGAGCATTTATTATTAATGAAACGGCTGAAGAGTTGGACAGAACTGCTGCTGGCATCTTCTCTTTAGTATTTCCAGTTATGGTCTGCTCCAACTTCTCTATCGTTTCAAGGAAAAATCTAAAACAAAGGCGCAAGGAGGGGAATGAGGGCTTAATGCCAAACAAAGGCAGCGCTGTTAAGAGCAAATGCTGCGCTTTCATACGAATCCTGTTTGTTTTTCAGGCAGTTCCGCTGACATCACAGGGAGGGTATTTCTCAGGACATATGCTTCTCATCACAGCCCCAAGGGGCAAATATCTGCCTACGAAGAGTTTAGTGGCAAAAGCAAAATGGCAAGGAACACATGTCCATGCTTACCTCGTTCTCCAGGGAGCTTTGCTTCCGCGGGCTCTGGGAGGCCTTGTGCTTTGGGAACAATGAAAAGAAGCTGCTGAATGGGAGGGTAAACTAAGGACGGCATTGAGCTAGAAAGGAAGAGGGTGAGGGTGGTGGTAATGATAATACTGGTGGTGTTTCTGGAAATTTGAAAGAGGGCTTTTTTCAAGCAAAACAAATTGTTTTAATCATTGAACAGAATGTGTGGCTACTGTAGCTTAAATGAGTTGGGTCGTTCAACAACTCCCCACCCCCCATTTTCAGTTTCCATCACCAGGAGAAACAATAGTAGAATAGCATGTCTTTTGCATGGAGATGTTCCTCAGCATTTCTTGGTAGCAAAGAGAAAGATCTCTGCCTGAAGCTCTGAACAAGCTTTCGGCTGGCCAGTATTGACAATAACAGGCCAATATTCTAACTCAATGTAAGATGGTTTCCTAGGCTCAATTGAAACCCACATTCTTCAATTCCACCATCTTTTATTGTCCCTTTCCTGCTTCAGGAGCTTCTAAGCTGCTCCTGGAAGGGATCACACAGTGTGGGATAGAGAATACTCCAAAGAACAGGGTGACAAATGGTGAACTAATTTATGTCAAAATGCTAGACCCCAAGCAAAGTGAAGGACCTATTAGGACAATTATCTTAAACACTTTTTGAAACACAATTGGGTTTAAGAGATAGGGGGGAAACCCCACTTCTATCAGTTGGCAAGTGACCTCAGCCTGCTCTTGGAAAGTTAACAAATCGGGGCAGGATTTATACTCTGAATGGGGTGGAGGTCTTTGCATAAAAAAATGGGTCAGGAGCCAAATCTGCAAAGGTGCCACTGTCTGTCAGAAGAGGATCCCTCTACTAGGGAGGCTTGACACACAGACCGGTTCCTTTCTCAAACCCTCCTGAACCTGCACAGACTCCCACTATCTGCACCACGGCCAGAGCAGTGATCCCCAGCACTGTTGTGAAATGAGAGGTATTTGACTCTTATCAAGCCACAGGCTGGAAGTCAAGAAATATCAGGGACTGAAAATCCCTAACACCTGGGAACTTCTTGGGCCCTAGAACTCAGTATCCATCAATAAAAAAGCCATTTAGATTGTTTTACAATTTTCAGCCTGGTTTTTAATGATATTAACCTGTACAGCCAAGTGAAAGTTGTATAAAAAGCAGATTATCTACTTCTTAAGAACAGGATGGAGAAAGGGTGGCTCTATGGCCACTTACAGCTGCCAACATCCATTTTGAGGCCACCAGACAACCCTGTTCCCCTGAGTTTGAAGGTTTTGGTATACCTACTTGGGGTTTCAAGGGACAAAATTGTGCCTCTGGCCTTGCAGAAGCTTCAGGCATTTAGTTCACCCCTCAGAATTCCTTAAACCTTCTCCCCGAATCGTCTAACCCATTTTGGGCCTGCCACATTACCATGCTGCGGCCCTTGAGCCAACAGATGTGGCTTCAGAAGGTCCTTACTTTGACAAAATCAAGAACTGCTTCCTTCTGAATCTGTTTCGTCTTCCTCTTCTCCTCCTCATATTGCAGTGCTGCCAGCTGGGCTTCCCTGCGGGTCCACTCCACTAAGGGCTCACGCCTTTTGGGTAGGTCAGCCTCAGCGGGAATAGTCTGGGGGAGAAAAAGCTGTTTGGGACAATGCACTGAAAGAAAAGCAACCAGCTGCATCCTTCAGCAGGTGGCAACATGTTCCCCAAAGTTCAAGAAATACGTCAAACACCTGTTACCTGATTGTGAGTATTGGACAACGACACAAGGAGAGCCGAGTCTCTGCACCCTCTGGAGGAAGAGAGAAATTTATGAGAGATGAGAGAAACACAAGGCCTTATAACGCTAAGCCATGTCAGATGTTCCACTGCATGGAGCATTTGCACTATGCTCACAGTGATTTAAGCCACAGACTTGAGCACTCGCTGGGAAAAATGACTTCTCACACGTTATACAGCACTGCACAGAAATTGTATGAATACAGTTACCATTCAAAGATTTATTTATTCATTATGCCTGTCATTTGCCCAGGAGCTAAGCTCTGGGCAGATTATGAAGTTATTGAAAGTATTAAAAAAAACCCTGTAAAATATGACTTGTACTTGTTCAGCAAAGGATATTCTTCCCTTCAAATCCTTACCTCTCTGCCCGATCTAAACAGCTCCTTAACCCTTGCTGTCGCTCCCTATCTTGCATTAAACTCAGACTTTCAGGTCGTTTTAATTCATCTGCCTCTCTGCAAACACATAAATACAGCAGAAATAAGACTACGGAAGGAGTATTACAATGCGAGTAGATAAAACATGTCCATAAGACACATGTATCTGTTACGCTATTCCTTTTTGTGGTAAACATTAGGAAGAGTGCAGAAATGGAGTGAGAAATTGTAAAGCCAAAGAAATTAAAGGTTTGAGATAAGGGGGGGAAAAAAGGAAATACAGCTAAAACTAGTTTATACCAACCTCAATGACTGTATCTCTCTATCCTTTTCTATCCTTGTTTCCACCATGTCTGCACACCGCTTTATAAACAGCCTTTTGCTCTTCAAACTTCTCTCTTCTTAAAAATTTCATCATCTCCATCCAACCACGGCTTTCTCCATCTTCCCCTTCCTTTCAACCCCATTCGCTCTTCCTATATATATGTCTTTTGTGAATCAGTCCTCGTTTGTTCTCTCTAGATAACCAAACCACCACAATGTACCTCTCTGCTAGAGAGCGCTCACTTTGGCATCCAATCCACATTCATTCAGCACCCGCTCATCCTTCACCCCATCTCTTCTTGTTTTACTACGCACACTTCTTAAGGCACCTCATTCCCACTGCATTCACCTTTGACGTTTCTCCTGAAATACCCAATTCTCACTCCCATGCGACACAGTGGGGAGATGCTACTCTGAGACAAACCACTTTTGCTTCTTTCAATAAACATCTTATGACAAACTGCAAAACACCCCACTACTTTTCTACTGGTATTTTACTTATCTTAAAATGTCTCCACTTTCCCATCCAGAGTACATACTCTACCAAAACACACATACACAAATTAATTTACTTGCTCTAGTTTTTTTTTTTTACCACTTATGTATAACTTCCAATCCATCACTTCGCTTTCCTTGTAAAACACAACTGTCTTAGTCTTTGATAATTGGTTTTTCAGATCTTACAGTTTAACACATTCCCAGGCACACTTAACAAATTTATCCCCCTGCAGTGTCCACATTTACTCTTGCTACTTTCTCCTTAGCAATTAACAGCATTCTTCCAATTGTCACTCATGGATGCAGTCTTTACAAACACATTAAACAAGTCATACACCACTCCATAAACAAGTCACATCTATACGGTAATGCTTCTTCAATTGTACAATCTACACATGTAGCCTTCCCATTTTTCAACATTCTCACAGCATTCAGGAATTCTTTTTCATCATTGGAAGACATGAAGGATCAGATTGGTGACAGACTGTCCTGGAGAAAATCTATCTATGTGATTGCTAAGAGCTGACGCTGATTTGATGGCACATAATCAATCAATCCAAATCTGTTTTAAAAGTGTATTTGCACTTAAAGTAAAAAGCCTACAAAATATTGAAAACATTTGCTATCTCGCTTTTAAAATTCCAAGTATGCTCTTGGTATTACTCTTAAGAAAATTAATTTTCCTGGTAGGCCTGTCCATGAAAGTAAAGTAACAGAGAGAAACACGTATCAAAGCTGGCAGGTGCCTCAATTTCATGTGGCAGCTGGACACACCATGACTGAATTATATTGGCTCACGGTCCTCCTTTCATTGCAATTTAAAAAATTGTGGGAATGGGGCAGGCGTTTCTACATGTAATCCTCTCATGAAGAGTGTGCATTGCAGAAGCCATGTATTTATGGTTTCTGCTTATTTACAGATAAACAATTTGAGCATGCAGAAAGAAAACAGACCAGCATCCCAGCAAGTATTTCAAAGTTTATGGAGCAAAACCAGTTCCCACCAAGCAAATCATAAGCATGGTTGGTCTCTGCATCAGTTCCGACAGGCGCTCCACCTCCCACTATTTCCAGATACAGTAAAACCTAGATCTCACTTGAATTATATCAAGGATTAAGAAAGTTTTACCCTGCATTGGTTGACCTGGCCTATTTTTATGTTGTTGTTGTTTAGTCGTTAAGTCGTGTCCGACTCTTCGTGACCCCATGAACCATACTGCGCCAGGCCTTCCTGTCCTTCACTGCCTCCCTGAGTTTGCTCAGTTTCATGCTCATTGCTTCAGTGATGCTATCTAACCATCTCATCCTCTGCCGTCCTCTTCTCCTTTTGCCTTCAATCTTTCCCAGCATCAGGGTCTTCTCCAAAGAGATCTCTCTTCGCATTAGGTGGCCAAAATATCTGAGCTTGAGCTTCATTATCGATCTCTCTGCTTTTTAATATGCTATCTAGGCTTGCCATAGCTTTCCTCCCAAGGAGCAAGCGTCTTTTAATTTCATGGCTGCAGTCTCCGTCTGCGGTGATCTTGGAGCCCAAATAAATGAAGTCTGTTACTGCTTCCATTTCTACCCCTTCTATCTGCCAGGAATTGATGGGTCCAGATGCCATGAACTGATACCCAATGCAGATTGTTAATAAAAGGCCATCTTAGACAGCATCCCACACTTTCGTTTGTTCTAATTTAAGCTTCTCAGATGCTGGGTCAGGACTGTCACCATTGTTACCATTTTTGGTTAGGTAATTAAAAACCTCTCAACCGTAGCTTAAATTCCTAATTTGCTTTTAACAATGTCTGTTACATCTGAATCAGGTATGGGGGGGCAGTATCCTCCCTTTTTAAGGCTTCCATTTCATAACATTCCACGGTGAATAATATATTAAACCCTTTCTATTCCAGAAAACTGGATAATCACTTCTGAAACCCTACTTACAAGGCCAGCTCTCCCTTCTCTGGTGCCTTTGGATGTGCTGGAGGTCACCACGGGAAAGCTCATGCAAGTCTATGCTCACTGTAAAAAGCTGGAAGCAATATTGACATATATGGTGAATCAGAAGGAATCTCTGTTGTTGGATTATGGTTTCTTTTTTCGGACTCAAAAAAAGATGGCCCAATAAGGTGGTTAGGTTGCATCAGTCATACCTGTCGCAGAGAAAAATGCTGCCCATCTTTCAACCATGCCTAAAGAAGCCAATTTGCTTAGCCTGGGGCATACACGACGCACGCACCTTCTCTCCTCCTTCCGCAGCTGCCTTTTCAGATGTAATGGGGTAATTTTGCACATGCCCTAAATTAAAATGCTTGTTTTCTCTGCATTTTAATCAGGCAAGGCTACACTAGTCTGGGTGTAGTATCTGCATGACATGATCAAGTGGGATGGGGACAATAAACAGAAGCAGAAATCACGTGGACAGCTGGCTTCTGGATCCAGGAAGGAGATGGACTGCCTCTCTGGGAGGGGCTGCAGGGCTGAGAGGCAGGCGTGGTCCCTTGGCAATGATCACAGAATTGTCAGTTATTCAAGGAGTAAATGCCTAGGGCAGTGTTTCTCAACCTTGGCAACTTTAAGACGGGTGGACTTCAACTCCCAGAATTCCCCCGCCAGCTGGCTGGGGGATTTTGGGAGTTGAAGTTCACCCGGCTTTAAATTGTTAAGTTTTAGAAAAAATTATTTAGGGGGGTAAGGGGGTGTTTTTTT